AGGGCGCCGCCCCTAGCGTGGACTTCTTTATAAGGTGTCAATTTGTTTATTGCAAAGAGGTTGTGTTCATATCCTTCGAAATAATAGAATTGGAAAGCCGTCGATTAGCGGGAATAAGAAGACGAGAGGAATCTCAAAAAGGTATGCATACGTGTCGATCGGGAGTTGGGCTGATACCCAACAGCACCCTGGTCCTTGTCGTCTAAGCTGTTGGGGCGGTTGAATAGGCGGTAAGACCCCATGGTCCCGAGGGGTGGTCCGCTCCTCCTGTTAGGGGGCGCAGGAGGAGTGTAGTGGGCCCGATGGGGCGTCCGACTGGTAAGTCGGCGCACCGGGAGTTTGAGTGCGTTGACCGCCGATGCCGATCGCACATACGGGAGTGGTGCACCCGTCCGCGACACGACTCATATCCCTGATGCACAGCGCGATTTGGAGAGCTTCCATGCTCCAATGCAAAAACGCATTGCATGCGCCGGCATATGGCGCGAGCCCCAGCTCAGCCCCGCTTCTCTCGGCCGCCTCTGCCGATTGAAGGTGAGGGCAACGGGCTGCCATCATGCAGGAACAACACTGCCTGAGAGCTGCGTTATGATTGGGCGCGCCGTAGTCGTCCTGACCGAGGGCCGGCATACCTGTGCCCACCCTTCCCCATCGGAGCTCGCTCTGCTTAGGCCCAAAGGTACAGTTGCCTACTGCGCTCCCGTCTGTCATCAAAGGAGCTAGCAGCGCATGGTAAGAAGGTAAATCTCCAACAACTGCGAATGTTTGGCTACACTACACATTGGCAGGAACGGTACGGCCGCTGGGAAAACCCCTGGGGGACGTGTGCCGTCCTTGGTAAGGGGTATCCGGAATCGCACAGATGCTATATCGCCTAGCTACGGGTGGAAGGAGGTCAGCGTCGGCGAGCTATAATCGGCACTCGTTCCGCGGCAGCACGCCAAACGATCAAATTGTGGACAACAAGCATTAAGATTCAACTGAAAAGGTTGAAGCTTCACAATCTTGTCTATGTCGGCCGAGCGCAGCTTAGGAGCATACAGCGAAGAGAGGGCGTGCTCGGACGAGTTCTCGCTTGTAGGTATCAGCTCTTTTCCCTTATCAGTTCACTTTCATCATTCGAAGTGGAACGTAACTGCCGAACAGCCGCACCAAGCCTTGACACTGGATGTGGTACAGGCAGTGCAAACAAACAACAACAACAAAACATTGCCTTCGCATTGAGCGGGTGGCGTCACTATCTCGTATTTCGAGCCGCGCATGTACTTCATACTCCTTGCTAGCGGAAACGACCACCTTGCCCGAGGATGGTATAAGCGTACTTAACAAAAGCAGGAAGTGTCCTTGGAACTCTACTTACCTGGTGATCGCAGCAAGCATCCATTCCTGCACGTGCCCTTTTTGGAACCCTGTAAACGAGATTATTTCGGAAATAGAACTGTGTGAAAGCTATGTCTAGATCTGGATCTCGCAAGAGTACGGCGACACTAAGCTCGGATCAGTTTTTCTGAAAGGAACGGAGTATATGAAATACCTTTGCGCTTATCCACTATCTCCTCCGCGTTCTTCTCGTCATCCAAGTTCCTGAAATGTGGCAGGAGTTAGGAACCTACTGCCAGCGGCATATGTAGACCAGACTGCGTACCTTAGCGAGTCGTCTTCGATGGCTATCGCAGGCATCGTGAGAGTGCGAATGAATCCTACTGGCGATGGTCAAGTGCATGTGATACTATCGCTATCAAACCGAGAATCACGTTTCAAAACAGTTCTTTTTTTTCAAAGATGGTGACTTCATTGAGATGTAATCTACTTGAGACCTATAAAAGATTCGTGGGCAGGCCCGATGGTTACTGTGTACATAGCTTGAATGTTACTGTGTTCATAGTTTAGCAAGGATGGGGGTGGATAGATTTGATATATGAAATGGCGCCAGATGATGACGAAAGAGCTATATGGATTGAGAGAGATGAGGAATACTGGAGATGTCTCCTACTCGAAGGAAGGCGAAATTCGTAGGCAACCTCGCCCACTCCCTCGAGAATACCCTGTGAACCCATCTTCGAAGATTCTGATCCTTGTGGTGTGCAAAACTTCTCAACAGCTGTAGGAGTGTACCTCTTCTTCCGCCATTCGAAACCGGGCGGGCGGGAATGAGTCTTGAAGATATTGCTGACTGAATGACTTCTGGTTCCCCACCCATGAGCAAAACACGCACCATGGGACACGCCGCACTACCAGCTGCCTCGGAGCCAATCGCGATTCTTGGCTGCCCTCCTCTTTTTGGTGAGAAATCTGTCGTTCACCACACTTGGCCGTGACGTGCCGTTTGTGCTGTTCGCTGCGGGACCTCAGCACGATTGGCTTGGTTGGGCACATGCTACACGTGTGAACGTTGGGGTGGAGACCCAAACGACATCTACCTTTCGTTGCATTAAAAGCTATAGACCCGCTCATCTCGCACGTGGCTTAGATTTCCCTGTCAGGTGAACGTACAGCCTGTCTTTAGCAGTACCCCCCCTTCTGTATCATCCTCTGCTCACGTTTTAGAACAGGTGAGAGTTGCACTATTGCCTCAACGGGTCGTTGTTGAATCAACGCCTACTAAGAACATTGAAGCAGCCTCAGACCCGGATTAGTCGTCAGAATGGGCGGAGATGAAACTGACTGGAGGTTGGGGACTACATGGCCGCACATCCCTTCCCTCTTCGAAGCCTACGCTCAGAGCGTAGACGATCAGGGTCGCCACAGTGGGATGATCTGACAGAGAAAGCATAGTTTCCACTGAACATGAACCTCGCTCAAAGGAAGGGATACGAGAGCGTTGGCAAGTGGTCCCTTTTCGCTCTTACCCTCCCCCCCCCTCTAAAACGTTCGCAGCTACAGCAGCGCCTGAATACAAGACCTCTATTGCGAACCACGAATTTTTTCAACAAAAGAGATAACCTCGTTGAAATCTTAAAAAGTTTCTCCAAAAATCACTTTATTTCACCACATTCTCTTCAAATCGTCAAAATAATTAGAAGTTGCAGCCTCTTGTTTCCTGACAGCAGCAGTCGTCCTGTTACTACGCCTCATGATATGATCGAATTTCTCACTGCGTAACGTCAATGCCAGTCCGAAAAATATTCGTTGGTAGGCTAGCAGCTGAAAATTTCATTTTTAGTGTTCTGGCAATCTTCCTTAGAGCAAAGAAAGCCTGACCAAATCGTAAGCATGGCTAAGATGAGTAGTATCCTGTCCAAGTGGAATGTCTGTGAAGAAAACCGAATAAGCTATTAGCATCACAAACAGTACCTAAATGACATACATAATTGAGCAACTTGCGTTGAGGGGTCACTTACTTAGCAGTCTCCTCTCCCTCGCCCCTGAACCCCTCAGCGTTCGCAGCGAACAAAACTGCATTTATATTGAGTGTAACTTTAGAAATAAATTGCTCGGAGGCACAGAGCAGGGCGTAAACAGGCCGGTTCAGGAACAGTTGGAGTGAAGTGGTTTGCCAGTGAGAGAAAAAGCGGCGAGAATCTCCCAAAACCCTATTGAAACTATCCCTTCCCCGCTATTTTCGAGCCATGCCACAGTGGAGAAATAGCGAGTGCTCAAAAGAGAGGCCAGTTGATGAGGGGCGAGGCTCTCGATGAGATCTCCAACATTCACGAGCCTGGACTGTCGGCCTCCGCGTCGCGGCAAAAGCTTGCAGTGGGCTTTGCCTTCCAGTCCCCTTGCGGTGGCCGGACTTGGGGGCTTGTAACTCACAACTCACTTGTCCCCGCTTACCACACGTTTTTCAAGTAGCAAGACCGGAAAATAGTCCCCCATCCCTTGATGCAACTACCCCATTGTCCAGAAGGAAGGGTTGTAAAGGAAAATCTCCCCCTCCGCCGAGGACCATACAGGAGCAGTTTCAAGCGACGCGGGAGAGGGATGGAATTTCGCACTTTGGCTTTTTCCCACTGACCCGTATCCAATTCTCAATCTAGGAGAGCTATCTTTATGACTCACACGGCTTAAACAGGTTGCACCATGATTCCTGGACGAGCTTGCTCCAGCTTCACAAAAGCTTACAGATTTCACCAGAGTGAGATTCGTTTCCCTACTCTGGGAAGACTCTCCGTTCATCATTACCTACCACTTCACCGACAATCATCATTTTCCTCCACTTTTTCCCCGGAATAATTTTCCAAAAATTTTCGATCCACGTTTTCCACCCAGAATTTTGCCACAAGGGCGGCGGAGAAGGTCGTTACCAAGCAAGCAAAACGCGAATCCCAACTGCCGAAAGTCAACAGATGCATTAGGACTGCTGCTGCCTCCGCCAGCGTTAAAAGAACAGGACCGGGTGGGGACTCTACAACTGTGCTCCTTCGGCCTTTCAAAGGCGACGAGCGGATTAGGACCCATTTTGGTAATTTACCCTTTCTCAAATGGGAGCCAAACCTACTATGCTGGTTACAAGCGCTATAAAACGCGAAACAGCTGTCAAATACAATCCTCAAAGCTATTATTACGACCCCCCCCCCCTCGAATCTTGCCCTCAAAGCGAACCAGATGTGATTTCCCCTGCTGAAGAACCCTCAGCGCTTCCGACAATGCCCCTGTCAGCTTAGCTGTCGACTGCGCCTTTAAAACGCCTACCTCCTGTTTACATTCTTAAACTACGGCTTATTATTTCAGTTTCACAAGCCTCAAAATCTATTAAAAAAAGAAAATAAATGCTTTAAAAATGCCCAACTCCTCCCTTTTTTCCGAATCAATCCCCATTCTTCTCTTATAACGGAAACTACTAATTTCGGACCCTTGAAAAGTACTCTTAAGTAAAAGTTGAAATTACCTTTCCGTCCACAACCATATTCGTTGCAAGCAACGAAACGAGGTATTTTCCAACTCGAATGTTCTCATCGAGTTGGTATCGAGCGGCCAATTGGATCCGTTTGTCGTGTCGTTTCTTATATGAAGACTTGTTCGAAATGATGATTACGGTCAACGCCTGAAATCAGCTTAGCATTCAAAAGCCTTATCCGTCACTTCTTGGTCGCTAAAAAAAACTCAGAACCAACCCGATTCTGATGGTTTTGACGAAGGCCCATGCCCCCCCCCGTGACCCACGTACATTTGCCGCTGGCAATTATTTATTTTTATATCTTTCCCCGTACCAAGATGAGACAGAGAATTTCATACGGATTGCACTGTGATTAGGGGCTAGTCATTTTCAAGTGAATCGTAAATAGCCTAAGCCTTTATTCTTCACACTTCGTGAAGTTTCGTCCTCCAATGGCCGGCACTACCACGCGTGCGTATACTGTAGCCCCAGGCGCTCTAAATGTCTGCGCCTCGCAGTTAATCCGGTTCTTTTCCCCACGACTATGGTGACAACAGGATCCCGTAATTCGCGCGCACTTGCGTGGGCGTCGCGGTGCGACGTCGCCGCCCCGCAAATGAGGGATGTCCAGGTCGTAAGAAGGCATTGCAGAACCGAAAAAATACTCGTGAATGTCCACCATGACGGGTTCCTACATAAAAGTGCTCTAACGCAGGTTAACGACGAGTTAAGCGAAACCGCACCATCGCCGCGATTGCCGGGGAGCGGCAAATTACGATTTCTCTTGCCCCCGGTCCTCTCGCTTTTTGTACAAGCTAGCCCCGCTTTGTTTTCATTCAGGCTTATGTTCATTGCGGTATTTCAGCCTGGTTTGCACATGCTGCACGTTGTGGACGCTGGAAATGGAAACAAGTTACGCTCCAGCCTCATTTGCGCTCTCAGATGGGGAAAGTGGCATACTTTGTCAGCTGGGGACCCTCACCTCGCCTCGCACATTGTCGTTGTTGTCGTAGTTTGTCTGTAAGTTTAGCGCTAAAGACATTTTGTGGGGCGGGGTGAGCAATAGCAGAAGGGGAGGGCACAATCACATAAACAGAGCCTGTGGTTCATATACTGAATCATGTCGCGTTCACGTTAACGAGGTTTTTCATGGATCGCTTGTGCTAACCGAGCATTCAATATGTCTAGACTAGGCTGAGAAGGAAAAACACTGGCAAAGTCTGCGATTCATGAAGGAACTCTTATTTTGAAGACCATTCTGGTTTATTAATCTGCTGCTCTATCTATGTCTGTACGCTGTCTGTCCGTTCGCGATAAGGGTTGCGAAAAAGCATTGCTAGCAAAAATGAAAACTCTAGTGTAAAAGACATCCAATCAGTAGGCTTGCGGTTACTGTAACAGATGCTCACGTCGCACCTGGACTCCGAACTACATTACACTCCATATCCCAGAGATGGAGAGTCCGTGGCTGCGTACTTCATTTAAACGTGGCGGCAGCTGCGCTTCTGGAGGATATTGCAGTTTCAGAACAGTTGCAACCATGACTTTGTCCACTAGAAGTTAGGACAGCACTTGTGTCAAACAAACTGGCCATCGCTGGGATGTGCAGTCCAGCGATGGATGGGTTCTTATATGCTGGGGAGGGGGGAGACTCCAAATGCGCGCAAGACTGAGTGCGTGGAAGCAGGGCAGCAGAATGCCCACAACACCACTCAGTTTTTGCCTACATAGGCAGCCATTAGCCAGGTGGGAAACGGAGTTACTGTCATTCTGGCTTCCGGGTCTTCCTCCTCCCCCACGGGGCCGCTACATTTAATTTCGCGTTCTCGGGGATACTGTATCCCACCTGTGTTCCTAAACTTATAATTCTGGACTTTGACATTCAAGGAAGATGGAGCAGCATTGCAGAAACGCTAACGTTGCTACTTCTAGAAAATTGTTTGGATCGCTAATGAGATTCCTTGTGAGTGGCTGTGGAGCAGAAAGCGAATGAAAATGATCAACAACGAGCGACATTTCGTTATCGAAGAGTAGGAGCAACATGCTTACCGAGCAACATGCTTACCGTAAGAGAAAGCATAACGATGCCGATTTGTAGTCCCATTATGAAGTAATTGATGAAAGCACCTGAAGCAACAGGATAATACAACTATCATTCGAATTTGTCATCTGGAACACTTATACCAAAAGGTGAACAAAGCTGTACTAGCCCAAAGTTGTCAAAATCAGAAAGTAAACGAGGTGTACTCACTGAGTTGAAAATAGGACAAATACAAGAGGATGGCCGTCAACAGTAACTGGAAAGAAAAGGCGTCTTGTGTGAGCAAAGTAATCCAGACGGAAAAATTTATGCTAGACATATTTGAATACTCAGAAAAACCATTCGATACTAAATAATTGACTAGAAAAGCTCAGAAGTTTTCAGAAAATCGCTGTCCGCATATGGCAAGATTCTTGGTGCCTTTAGCGAGTATGGAGTCCAATATATCTGATCCAACGCGTCATTTATCATTGTGGAGCTTTTTCTAGAACGCTGGAATGTTACCACAAGAATGCTGAGTTGTGGGCAAAAGTCGTGCCCCAGGCGGGAGTCGAACCCGCACCTCACGCTTTCCGGGCGAGTGCGCTATCCGTTACGCCACCAGGGCCGCTTTTACCCTCTCAGCTTAACGGCTTACGGCCCTGGTGGCGTAACGGATAGCGCACTCGCCCGGAAAGCGTGAGGTGCGGGTTCGACTCCCGCCTGGGGCACGACTTTTGCCCACAACTCAGCATTCTTGTGATAACATTCGGAACGCGTACTGCGGCGTTAAACAGCAGTTATCATAAAACAGCTTCGTATAGGTTGTTGGCGACGTAGCATTTTCCCCGCACATATTCCGGGGGTCGACTTCTCATCGACTTCCCAACTAGGTCAATTAAGCCGGCCTTCTACCCTCCGGGGACGGTAAATTGGTACCAGATTCGTCTGGGAGGATAATAACACTGACTTGTACATCGGCTGGCCCCGCAAGTCATTGTATAGGCCACATCACATTCAATAAGCCACTGCGATTCTGAATGAAAGTAGAATGCGTGCCGCACTCCACAAATGGATTGATGACCGGCGAAGATTTCATCATTCTTATTTTTATGACCCCACCCCCCAGTTTTCTCTTCCGGTATCACTACCTTACACAACCTTACAATCATGCCCAAGTTCCCAAACCCAGAACACCATCCTTTTCCAAAATTATGAGCTTGGAATGTGCTTTAGGCATCTCCATCAACTATCAGGAACAGCAATAGTTCTTCAGCTCCCTGCCTTAGGGGTGGGGGGGGGTCAAGTGTGTAGAACAGGATAAGCGAACAAGCAGAAAAGTTTTTTTCAAGCCAGATACGACGCCTCGTTGGGGATCACTAAATTGTGACGTGTCCTAGTTGAATGTTCTTAATAGTCTAACCTTTCCGTACCCTTGCAGGGACTGGGATAGTCATAGAATACTTCTCGAAAAGTTCATTCTACGCTGATTGTATGGGCGGGTATAGTCAGTTGCTGTACCTTGGTCAATGGCACGCCTCTCGCCTATTTTACAGTTTCATGGAGTAGCGGTCAAGGAGGAGCGCGCAGTGGTAGGCTTCATTATATAATGTTTTTGTTTTTATTATATTATATGTATTTTTTATTATATTATATGTATTTTTTATGTTTTTGAGCCCAAGTTTCGAGTCAGCCATTCCTTTGAGGAAGATGAACCAGTTCCTGATAGAGCTGGACGTGATGCTCCGTAAAACGTGCGTAGATTCAACCGTGCAAATGGGTAGTGAGTGTCTGTTCGTATTATTGGTGAAATATTCTATTTTTCATCGTTCTGTTATTTGTGGTGCCCATCTTCAACTATTTTCTGTAAAAACTTACTACAGTTCCGCAAAGAACAGACGGTGCTGTATATCCCTTGAATCGAACTTCGTAAGCACGAACGTATACTGAGGCGACTGCTCGTTCAATAATTAGAAGTAACCATGCAAACATGGAGAGATCTGTGCCGACAGCTTGCACAACAAAGAAGGACAGCTTAAAGCGAAAGACATATCTTCATTCAGTACTCAATGGGAGGAGGAATCGAACAGTACCGTGGTGGACGAGTTTTCCAGGCCAACGCAACATAGTCGGGTAGTTATGATACATAAACGAGCAATGACACAAAGAAGGTATCCAACTCCTATCAGGAATAAGGCGACCCTGAAATGATATTTGAGGTATCGAGAAGATTACTAAAGAAGTGAAAGGGTGAGAAGATTTTCTCGGATCTCTCGGGATACAAGATCTGATTCATCAAGCATCAATGACCCGTTTACGGTCACTGCGAATGAGGGGGCGTGTCAGGCGGGACGAGCTCGGCGCGGAGCGAGCACGTTTTCCACCATTTCCTGAAGCGAGCAAGCGACAAGACTTTATCGCATCGTTCGTGTTAATGGTTTTTCACCAACTGTGGTCACTCACCCGCTTCAACAGTTGGTCGAGCCCGGGCTGGAAACCCATTCCGGCTGCCACTCCCCCTCATCCGCAGCGAACAGGGCTGTATGGGATGCTTGACCGGACCCAAATAGGTCACTCTATGCAATCCCCGCTATACTTGCAGTAGCACTTTTCCCCAGATATACAGGGGGGGGGGCAAAAAAAAGTCACTTTGCTTCATTGACTTTCGAGGCGCTATAAGTTACACTTTATCAATTCTGATCGGACATTTTACCACCATATTGAAGAGCATATTAAATACTATCATGACACTCCGCAGCCTTCTGGACGAGCGCCATCGAGAGATTCTGGCACGCGACCGCGGTGCCTGAGATCAGCGAGATAGTCGATTTCTCCGCCACCGTAGACCACCCTATTGAACTCCGCCCGAACTAGGTAATTGAGTGGGTTCAGGTCAGGGGACATACTTCAATATTACATCTTCTTCAGGTACGAAACGCCCTTCCATTCGAAGTAGGCGGGAGTTTTTCCAAAACCCTTCGATTCCATGTGGTGGCACCCAAACCTGTAGCAGCACAAGGTCTCCAAGAAGGTACGGGCGACGACATAGGCTGGCGCCTTGGCGACTGAGGTGAAGATGATGTCCTAGACCGTAGCGACGTTGACGACCGGTTGAACGAAGTGCTGCCTCGATTGTCTGGAATCTTTCAAGATTTGAGAGAGCTAGTGGTCCTGACGCAGGTAGTTGTCTAAGGGTGACTCTCATACTAGAAGTTTCGCAGCTGTTTAGGAGGTGACGTGAACTTCCAAAGGTCTTCTCCAGTCAGGCTGCGA